TTACGTTAGGGCCTCCTTCAGCACAGTACACTCACGGACATCTGAACTGCTCAAACTGAGAAGGTTGCAAAAGCATCGCTGGCTCTGTGGTGGCTTTCTGTGGGAGTTCACGTTAACCCACATGCTCCCAGTCCCTAATTTATTACTTTACATGCTGCTAATACTGCGTAGTCCAGTTGGACTAACTCCCTTTCAGAAAACAGTGCTAAGGAAATGGAGCACAAGGTCTAAGCTGCGATTCTGAATGGGGCTTAGCAAAACAAATTGGTTTGGGAGAAAGGCCAGCCTGAGATGCAGCAGTGGAGGGCATCCTTCAGCTGGCTGTGGAAGAGATAGAAATACTGCTCCAAAAGGCCCACAGGGATGGGCGAAAGGCTGTGTTAGCCAGTGCTGTTGGAAGGTGTCATGGTACGGTAAAATATTGGACGTGGTTGCAGAAAGGCCTGCTAAGAAAACATTTCTACGTTCAGATGTCTGGAAGCCTCAGTTCCCACTGTCATCACTTCCAGTGGCCTCTCTGGAATGAACAGCAAGTTGTCTGGATGAAACCTTAGATTTCACGATCAGCTGCAGCCATTAGAAAGGGGATAAGTCCCATGTGGAACAGGAACAGACTCTAGAGCTCTCTCCTGATATAAAGCACGGTACAAAACAATAAGAAAACTGTAACGTCAAGTCACTTGAATATTTGGACTGTTGGTGGCTTCCTTCTGCTAAACAGGGTCCTAAATATATATGTGTATTTTAATAGCTGCTGTTTGTTGCACCTGTGCATACTAGCATGGAGCTGTGCCTGCTAGATCTTCTTTGCTAGGACAGTGAAAGCACACTTATTTTCTCTCTTAAACTGGAATCCACTGTAGACTTTTGAAGCTAAAAGTTTAAATTTTTAATCTAAATTATCTCTTATTTTCCCTCTGAAATTCTATTGCATGCTTCAAAATGAAATAAATTGAATTAATGAGTTAGTGTTACACGAAGACTGATTTATTGCAGTGATTTCAGAACAAAATGATACAAAGGAAACCGTATCAGCTAACATAATCACTCATATAAAGAACACGGTGATTTATCAAATGTGCAAGTATTTGTCTGAATCCCTTTTTGCGCCTGATTCCTCATTTGATTCCAGTGCAATGACTCATATCAGTCCAAAGCAAGTAAGAAATGCCGTTACTGTGATCTGATGGTGTTGTACATTCATTTTTCATCAATGTACACAGCAACAGTATCCCTGGGGAATTTGTGTCTGCCGCGTCTACAGAGGATAGGAATTACTGTATAAAATCTGGCTCTTTAGGTCAAGTCACAAAGGATTTTCATCTCTGCGGAGTCTAGTTCATCTCCTTTTTGTATCGGCCAAAACAGTCATTACATACGCATGCTTCAAAGCTATGAAGAATCAGTATGATTTCCTGTTTTAATGCGACATACTTTTAAAATAAAAAAAAATAACTAGTCATCTAAAGAAGAACAGAAAAGCTATTTTCCACTGACCTTTTTCTACCACATGAATTTAATTTACTTTTCTTCTAAGATGATTTCAGTTTACTAGACTTTTCTAGATAACTAAACTCTGACTTTATATAAGTATAGAAGATCCCAATATGAGTTTATTTATGGCTTAGATGGCTGGTATTTTTAAGTATATAGTGCTGAATAATGTATCAGTATTCTTCTTTCACTATTTGATGCAAAATGTCAGATGCACTAGAGCCAAAGATATGAATGCCAAACAAATAAGAAAAAACAGACTTGGCCACACGAGGATGATGCAAAATTTGGGAGGAATTGTGTTGTCACACCAAAAGCGTGACTACTTTCAGAACTTGTGAAAAGCTGTACAAATAAACTGAAAGCTCTCTTTAATACTTTTTTGCGTAATCAGATTTTCCTCTGCAGGTCACTCTCTCTCGCCACAATCGTAGCAATGTTGTAAGAGATTAAAACTTGAAAGGAACATGTGCGTAACGCGTGAGCTAGGCACAAACATGCTTCTCTTCAAATTCCAGGAACGTTTATTTTGGATTGAGCTTTCTTGAACTGAAATACTTCTTATGGCCACCAGGGGAAAATCCCCTGGGCTGTCCAATAACCTGTTTTGTTTTTTTTTCCTCAAGATAACTAATTACAAAATTAATTTCTAATATTCATCTTATTGAAAGAGTTGAGACTCAAGCACTGTTGCATAAATGGCAACACAAGTTACCCCTCTCTGTAAAGAGCCCTGTTCTTGATGGCTTCAGGATGACGGGTTTTAACTAATCGCTGTCATCTGGGGGTTCATTCCACAATCAGCTAATGAAAAAATACAGCAAGCCCACTGAAATGAGCACAGCTCCGGTCTGCCACTGCAGGTGGGATCAGTGCTGGTCGGAGTCAGGCGCCTGTGACGGGGCTGTTACTCGGTGTCGGTTGCCTTGAGCAGCCAAGTGAGAGGAAGGAGTTTTGCACCCTCTCCCCCGAAGGCTTACGCTGCAGTCGGTGTGCTGCGGGCTGAGGTACCGTATTCTCGGAGATTTTAAAAACAGGAGGTTCTTCCTGGGCCTGGTGCTATGCCTCTGAAATCACTGGAAGACTGCGTCCAGTGCTCATACAAGAAAACCAGAATAAAATAGATTTTTCCAGGGAGAGAATATTGCTTAGTTATACATTTTGTATGTTCTTTGCTCAATATGTTGCACAGTTCTGCCACAGAAATGGTCAAAGACACACGAACGTGTGAGCAGAAACCACACCAGACAGTCTTAACCCCATGTTGGCAAGAAATACACAGCATTATTCTGTCCTGAAAAGCATATTTGCAGGTTAAAATGGTTGATGCACATCAGGTGAGAGAGAGACGGTGAGTCGTTTATTGATAAAGTACTATTTTGCAATCCTGTCATCACTGTTAGTAAGTATATATCAGCATCAGTAAAGTCCAGCGTCATTTTTGCCATGAATATGAAATTCTTGCATATAACAGAAAATAATCTGACTTAATCTTCTGGAATGAAACAAAGTAACTTAGAGGGTTTTTTTGTTTGTTTGTTTGTTTTTATTTTCCATGTGTTAAAAGCACAAACTGGTGATCTATATGTAAATAAACTGCTACAAGATGAATGTAAACTGGGAAAGAATATACTATTTTTGCATGGTAACAGATTACTTAAAGACCTCTTGATGCCTTACAGAAAATTTGGAAAAGCATTTTATTTAGAGGCAATTCTATCTGCGTACTTTTTGTATCTTTAGCTCACTTTTTCCCACTTTGTCTGTGGGAAAAAAAAAAAGATATCGGAATTAGATCTTTGTTTCTTCTTGGAATTAACATTCTTCAGTACTTTGCACATTCAGTGGTTTCTATGCCACCTTTATTCCTGTTAAATGATGAAGCTGAGGCTATGCTTTTCAGAGGAGAAATCTGGATGCTTGTAGTCTGGGAGGGAAAAAGTTTTAGATCCCTGGAATTGTTCCAAAATAAAATGTTTTCTGAGGCATCTAGAGCCCCTTTAAGCCCTTCACTTCATTTCAGCTTTTTGTTATGTATTTTAGCAAAGTACAAGCAGCGAACAAATGAGGCATTTTCGTAGGTGTTGCCTATTCTATTTTCAACTGAAGGTGAAGGGGTTAAAATATAACATACATTGGTGTAAAAAAAAATCTTAACTGTAATTAAAGATTTTTCAGTTTTGGTATATTAGCATGTATATCAAAAAGTCATCTATGGAAACTTTTGTAAAGAATTAAATTATCACATTTCTCAAAACTGCTCATAAGATTTTCTCGTGGACTGATATACAATAAAAGCTCTTTTATAAAATCTGTTGTTACTCCAGCACTCTGTCCTCACAATCGGTATGAAGTCGTTCAGAATGCGTGCCTATACAAAATGTGTTGTAAAAAAAAAAAAAATATATATACATAAGATAACATAACGACCAAAGGAATATTGGAACCTGAGATTGGTTTTAGCAATCTTCTATGAAAAAATTGTTGCAAAGTTCTCTGAAGATGCAGCAGTCTTTCTGTAATGGTTTCATTTTTTTTTTTATTTTAAATCAATAATAATATAACCAAGTGTTTATGCTTGTTTAATATGAATTGACAATTGGGAATGCATAGTATTTTTTCAGACTATGTGTCTAAACCAATAAAGTTGAAAAGCGTTCAGTCTCTATTCCAGTTTTTGCGTGCACTTGCATCTCTCCCTTCACTTGGAAATCCAGCAATGCCAGAGAATTCTTTCAAATTTTTCATGTTAACGAAGCAATGAGATTCCTCTGCTCTATAAACTTAAGCTGAGACACAGGGTCTGATCAGTAAAAGGAATGTAACACACACAGTTTCAATTTCAAGATGTAGCACTAGAAAACCGAATCTGTCGGCACATTTATTAGCCAAAACCAGTGCAAGGGAGCAGCAGCACCCAGTACACCCACCCCCCGCAAAGGCCAGCGGCAGGGGAGCAGGACCAGGCAGGATTACTGACGGACAACGATGCACTTTTAATTTTGCCCCAAAAACCGGGGGGGGGCCCCCGCTTCCCGGGAAAGGGCCCCCCCCCCCCCCACCCCGCCCGCCATCATCTTCCAGCCTCCTCGGGCCCGGTGGCAGTCTGGGCCCAAGGAAAATCAACTCTCCCCCTTCCCCTCCGTCCCTACAGCCGCTCTGCCTCCCCCCAGGGAGCCATCCGTCGGCGGGCAGCCCCCACAGCGCGGCGAGAGCCCGACACCTTCCCAGCGCTGCGGCTGAGGCGGGAGGGGGAGCGGAGAGCCTTCCCCTCACGGCGGGCGGCGGGA